CGTTTCAAATTACTATGCAGAAACTCTAGCTAGAAAACTCCCTTGAAGCCTCTGGAATCCAGGGTAAGGGAATATTCACGGTGTAAATTACATTGCCAAATACTATAACGTTCGTTTTAATACAGTTGAAGGAACTCCAAGACAGACAAAATGCTTTGCTAGATCTGCAGCGTCGTGCTGAAAATCAGTTAAAAGAAGCTGAAGCAGAGGTACTTTATAGTTAATATTCATCGCCGCAGAATGTGCATTTAACGTACAGTTAAAATATCCCTAGTTTTGTTTATCCGTATTCACCATACTGTAGTTTCACCGTTTCATTAAAATTGTGTATTAATTTATGGTTGCATGCTTGTTAATTTTAACTTGCTTATCGATTTTTCTTTCCTGAATATTTTCTCTTGTTTCTAGGGAAGGCGTATTTCAAGTCTGATGACGAATGGGCAAGCGATCGATAATGGGAGTGTTAGTGATAGGAGTAGAAGTGGCACTGAGAGATCAGATGAGTCCCGTTCTTCCCAGGTAATTTACTGTTGAAAATACGATTAAAATCATTGAGTATACCATAGATGTTTATTGTGTAGAAAGAAATGAAGAAAAGAAAGGACGGGAGGAAAGAACGTGAGAGTGAGGGAATGTGAAAACAAGGAAGGGAAGTTGTGCGGGATAATAAACCACTTTCATATTCAGAAATGAGGTGGACTTAAATATTCTTTATGTGCATCTGAATAAACCTTCGTTCTCTCCTTTACGTTCAATAATACTAGTCAATTTCAGTCACAGAAACGAGTCCAAGAGGGCTTGTCGATGCGAATCTGCGATATGCTCGCTCGACACCGGCAGGGATGAACCAAATTAAACAACACTTTGTACTCGTTTATATTATACTTATTTCCGTTATACTTTAATCGTTTATAACATAGTACGGTACAAAAACGTTGTAACTATAGTACAAGATCGGTAGAATTAAGCTAAGTAGTTCGTTCAATGTACGTTAATCACTAATGAAGTTCTCGTCTAGACGACCTAGCTGTTAAATATTAGCGGTATGTTATATGAATATATTACATGACACAAACAAGTTAGAATTGAAAGGCGAATATGCAAATAGTCTCCTAAATTTGAATAAGTATCTATAACTATCTTAAATTAAACATAAACAATAAGCTATATATTTTTGGCACTAACATTAGGCTCCCCTATAAGAGGATATCCTGCTCTTATACTCAATATAATTCCAGTTAGTGCATTTTTCTATTATCTTAAAACTGTCCGTTCTTCTCCAAATATAAAGAAGTGTCTACAAATAAATTACTATTATAGGTAAAAAAAACAATTAATGAAATCTACTTAATGTTTTGTCCATCTAAAGTTTCGTCGTTTTCCATCAACAGTACCAGTTTATCAATTGGACGTTCTTGGGTGGAAAATGATGACTTGAGCGTCGCTGAACGAACGAATCCTTTCGAATCTTGCCTTACGTTGACCACTCTTGCCATAGGCCAATCATTTCTTGCGGTGTTTTCATCTTTAATAAGAACAATGTCTCCAATCTCGATGTTTCTTTTAGGCTGATTCCACTTCGTTCTCGCTTGTAAGGTTTGCAAATATTCTCTTTTCCATCTTGTCCAAAATATGTTCGCCATGTATTGGACTCTTCTCCATCTCTTTCGAAGATAAACATCTTCTTTTTGAAAATCACCGGGGGGAGGCATAACCACTTTAGATTTCATGGTCAGAATGTGATTGGGTGTCAAAGGTTGGAGATCTGTGGCATCACCGGATGGGAAGGTTAACGGCCGGCTATTAACAATACATTCCACTTCGGTCATTAAAGTGCGTAAGGATTCATCATTCAGGGCGTGTCCGTAATCGCGTAGAAGAGAAGGCAAAATCGATCGAACTGTACGGATCTGCCTCTCCCATACTCCTCCCATATGCGAAGCTTATGCGAGGCTTATTGAGATGCACATAAAAATATTCAAATCCGTCTCTTTTGAAAGTGTTCTAGGAAGGAAAGAAGGGAGTGTGCGCTGCTAGGGCGGACAGAGGAATTCAGGAAGGAAAGAGAAGGTAGGTGAGGGAATTGGAAAAAGGGAGGACGAGTGGGAAGGGGAGATGGAAGAAAGGAAAAAAGTGTGAGTGTGGTAAATGGTGGAAGCAGAAAACTGTAGGGAACAGACTGAATGAAAAAGAAACAAAAAAAAAGAAACCGGTAGTGTTATATAAACTATGTATAAACAAAAGGATAAAATTGCGTTTAAAACGCAAACAACCAAATGAGTGTATTCTTGTGGTTCATTTTTTAGCCTGGTACGGTTGGAGGTGCAGTTAATTTGCGAGGACCATCTGCAACTGGTTTACGCTACCCAAGTAGAGAACAGGTTTGTCCTTTTCATATGTTTTCATTGCGGAGTTTATTCAGTGAGGGTTCAATATTCTTGCTTTAAATATTCTTTGTCTTTCTATTTAATTTACACGATACAAATAATCTATTTACAAGATTTGAGCTGTGATTACACAGGACGTGGTTGCCTAATTCATCCTAGGCCCTGATCGTAGCCCTATATAGGATGCACGTGCTCGACACTACAGTAAGGCATAACGGTTTAGTCTTTGGTGAGGAAAGCAAACCGGAGGACCCAGAAGAAAACCCTTCTAGCACAGGACGAACCAACCTTGCACTACTTGTACACGAGTTCTCAAGAACACGGAAGTTTAATACCCAACCTAAGTAGTACTCCGTACCCTCAACCTACAACCACCGCTAGGAAGCCTGAGAGCACTTTCTGCATTTTCCAAGAATGATTTTCCATTTTCTAAAATTCGAACAAATAATTACCTTGTTTGTAAATAGAAAATGCAAAATATTTTTGTTGATTAGTGGAAGGGGTACAATTGCGTTATATGGGGAATTTAAAGTTGGTATGGACATGAAAAAATCGTATTGTTTGTCCAGAAAAGAAAAGAAAAACTACATCTTATTCCCACATATCATGGTGCGAAAGTTATAAAGGGTTAAAGATAGCTCATTATGTATTCTTCTATCAGTAACGGCGCCATGTTAGCAGTGGTGAACATACATTTCCTATAGTTCGTCTTACTGTAGTATTGCCCTCTTGATGATATGTATATTATTCTTTAGGCCCAGCCAAACAGAAAACCATCTAATGAACAGAAACCTGAAAACTTTAAGAACCGAAGATTACCTAGTGAACAGGTACGAATAAATTAAGACAGTTTCGTATTGTATGTGTGAATGATTTAATGAAAACTTTTCCTGTATGTATAAACATTATATCCCTAAACTTAGGATAGTATATTTTGATTGTTCATTCTGACAAGAACTACAACCACTTCTTGTATAGCAGTTGTTTCTAGATTAATGCGATCTAACTTTCATAAATACTGGGACCAAGGGCTGTTACAGTATAAAGAAAACTATATCCTGTTAACTATGTCATTGATATGGATGTTTGTGTTTTATTAGGCTGCATGGGTTGCAGAGTCAACAGGATCTCTAACTCCAGACAATGAGGTATAATGTCCAGGCAACCAGTTCGAGTTTTATTTTACAGATCAATAACACCATTACGTTTCGCCCTGCTTGAAGATTTCTCACTTTTGACGTTGAGCCTTTAGGCTGGATTTCCGCGTGCAAGAAATAGCCGCTGTCGAAACTTATCAGCCAATATATTTTACATTTTGAACGGGCAGTGGCCAATGATTTATCTGTTTGATCTTGATTACAGTGAAAACAAGCGAAATATTTCTTTACGAGTAAAAAATTCACTTAGAGAATAATGTATGGTTATAAATTACTGATTTTAAGTTGATTTTTAGGCGCAGGCTTTAGCGACAGCAGATGCCGCTCAGGAACGACTTGAATTGGAAAGTAAGTTAATGGATTTACAAGCAAAGAAAGAACAGATGGATGCACTTGTTGAGCAGCTGCAACAACTGAGAGAAATGCAACTGGGGAAAGGTACAGTATGATTGAAGAATATAATAGGGAAATTATGAAAACCTAGTTCAATAGTATATGAGGTCAGACATCGAGTGTTCATCCCGAGAGTGCCTGTATATACTGCATGGCTATATTACAATCCAAATACCGCGAAGTGACGCGTCTCCGGAGAGAGAATGGGCACCGATTTTGTGTTGTGTTGTGTTGTGTTGTGTTGTGTTGTGTTGAATGTTTTGTTTTGTTTGTGTTGTGCTGTGTTGAATGTGTTGTTTTGTGTTGTGTTGAACTGTGTTGGTTGTGTTGTGTTGTGTTGTGTTGTGTTGTGTTGTGATGTGCTGTGCTGTGTTGAATGTCTTGTGTTGTGGTGTGTTGTTTTGTGATGTGCTGGGTTGAATGTGTTGTGTTGTACAGTACTGTGTTGTACAGTACTGTGTTGAATGTCTTGTGTTGTTTTGTGTTGAATGTCTTGTGTTGTTTTGTGTTGAACTGTGTTGTGTTGTTTTGTGTTGAACTGTGTTGAATGTCTTGTATTGTGCTGTGTTGAATGTCTTGTGTTGTGTTGCTCCCTTTTGAGTATTATAGGTGTTGACTGTATCGTGTTGTGCCGTGTTGCCCAGATATCGAGATATCGTCAATGGGGGGGGGGACGAAATAGGCTGAAAAAGTCAAAATGGATTAATATATAGATTTACCGCTCATCTTGTTTCCCTAAGAAATGGCGCTGCCGCAAGAAAGGAGTGTAAATGAGACGATTGAGAACGGAGAGGATGACGTCCCCTTAGCCACGAGATCTGCAAAAGACACTGGAGATAATGTTGATGATGAAAAGATATTGGAAGCCTTGCAACTACACAGAAAGTTAAGGTAACATTTCATCCGTGCATTTTATAGCACAGACAATTATTATTGAGCACTGTTCAATCTTTAAATCAGGAAACTTCAAGACGTGAGAGATAAACTTGAAAGACTTAAAGAACTTTTCGAAGAACAACAGGTTAGTGAGAAAGCTGTCTCATTTTCCCGACTAAGCAAAGGAAAAGGGGAATTTTGGTAGAAACGGTCATACCCCTCCAAAATTTTATCGTACAATACGCCGTTGGCTTGGCATTAGGATTAATTTGAATAGTCCTAATACATATTATTAATTGTAAAACGGTTACTGTAACAACGAAAAGTGTAGATTAGCAGCCAGAATAGTTCATTCACTCCATTACCGTATAGTATTGTGCTTTTAAAAGTCTCTATGCTTGTTCTTTAAACAATAGGCTATATTATACCTCAAATTCAAAGTTTCCAATCAGAATGCTAAGTTTGTGCCGCGTGAGCATAAAATTTATCATCGAATCACGCATTCATGATTCGCGTAAACCACGCGCGGCGATCACGCAAGATGGCCGACAAAATACACTAAGGAGTGATTTATTAAGTTTTTAAACTTCTTTTTTTCCAAACATTTTGAGGTAAATTTTGAAAAGTGTTATCAGTATTCCAAACGATATGTGATTTGAATGAAAAGTGACAAATACTAAATGTACGTTAATTAAAAAATAAAACATCGTATTCACGAAGGTATAGGCACAGAATACTGCCCGGGGGATTAGGCGAAATATCATTACTTCGGGTAATATTTCGCCGAATCCCCCTTGCTCCAGGTCTATAAATGATAAAAGTATCTTCGGTGATCAATAGGAACGCTCTGAAGCGGAGAGTGGCGCAATAGCTGGAGTGAATGAACCACACCGAGCACAGCCATCAAGAGAAAATCGAGGTGCAGAATTTCAACCACGTGGTGGTGATCATGATGACAGTGCAATCTTGGATGATATGCCGCCTGGTAGCATTGATTGGATTTTGAATTCTGGTATTGATGACCCTGAACTGTTGACGAAACTAAGGTTAGTATAAGCTGCTATTGCATCACCGACAATTATTGCATCTCTTCTCAGTCAAAAATTAAGGATGTCGGGATTGCTCACTCTTGATCAAATTCAGTTTGTCAGATTTATAAGGGCAGGAATGAGAAAAGTATATGCATGCTTCCCATCATTCATTACCTAGAATAACATACTATCTAGTGTATATATCATGCACATTCTTGGCTAGCACAGTAGTCTTGTGTGCATGGGCAAACTTTACGTTTTTATACGTTTAGTTATTTTTATCCAGGCTCAAACAAGGTGTCTGTACACGTATTTTGAAAGGAGCGTTCCTGTGTTTAATTTCTCATGTGTTAAAATTCCTTTAGGCAAGTAAAGGCTGCAAAGGAGAGAGTTGCTAACCTCAAGCAACGTAATGAACAAAATAACGTAAGTGTGTAGTATGCACTACAATGGACCCCTTGTTGGAGCACTTTGAAGAGTTGTAATGGTCCACAGCTGTGTAGTAGTTGGTTGAATAAAATATTTTTACCACCAAAGATGGGGGATTATCTTTGATGACATGTCATACTGCAAGACCTGTATATACTTTTAATTGTGCATTAATCCTTATGGATAATGAAGTACGAAAACGTTTGATTCCGTCACTGCACGTATTGTTGCACGGAAGCTTTTGCCATTTACTCATATGCTGTACTGTATTCTACATACAATATTTTATAAATAGCTAAAGCTGTAAGAAACCCTCCTTCTCACGCAAAACTCTCGTCCGGGCCCGGGAGCCAATTAGAAATTTAGTTAAAGTTCATTATGATTAGTGTGAGAGTTAACCAATCTTCTATGTATCACCACTATTAATCTACAATCTGAATTATTTAAATTGAACCATCCTATAAGGGCTTTTTATCCGTTTTTACGTTTCCTTAATCCGTCCCGTTAAAATGTGTTCAGTCCTTGCGATGAGTTAATAATTAAAACGTGTAATAATATGTCCAGGTTGTACAGCCGTATGGTAGAGCCGAAGCTGCTGCAAGTTCTGCACAAGCGGTTGCAGCTCAGGATGAAGATTCCACAGTTCAAACGGATAATGAGACTACTGGCTCTGTATCCAGTTCTCTCATGTGGCAAGAAGATCCTGAGTTTCAAGAAAAACTTCGGTAGGTGAATTTCCAGTAATTTCGGGTAATATACACGCGTAACATGGATTAAACATGATCACGCCCATGCCACCCCGGCCTATACACTGAATGCACTCTCCTATTCTTTATTTGCAATGACGTAATTTTGGGATTTCAGTTGACGGGCAGGTATAACAAAACACGGCTATTTTAATGTATTGATCGAGTTTAGAGACAGTTTAAGACTCAAAAGATGAATCACCGTTCAGTTTTTCTTGCTACATCCATTCTGATAGGAGAAAAATCACAAGTTGTCTGATCGCCCGTCATTTGGATGAAAAGTCACGTGATTGCAAACAAAGAATACGCGGCTTCTGTTTTGGAGAGCAAACAAACCGTCGTAGGCTAGTGTACTGAATAGAAGCTACTGTATATATAGTACTCCTTAAACGCTGTGCGCCATCAAAGCCAAGTTTAAAAAGGAATGTGCCGCCCTAATTTGTGTTACTGGGAATTGATTATGTCGTCTTTGTTTATTAAGAAAACTGAATACTGCTCGAAAGAAACTTAAAAAGTTACAAGAACTTGTCAAGAAAACTGAGGAGGTATCGTGCAGTTGCATTCGATTGGTTTTTAGAAATATTACTGCTAGAATATTGTTGAGAGGCACTATTAACACTATGCATGCAATGACATATATTCTGGTCAAAACTAAAACAATAGCTACTGTATATGTCAAGTTAGACCAAAAAAGCCTATGATCATAACATACTTTTAAGAGAAATGATTAGTCGCAATATATTTTTCCGTGTCCATAAATCAGTGTGCTAAATGTGGTTTGTGATCACATGGCCTTCAATGAATGCATGAATGCTGTTTGTATGAATGCTGTTTGTATGAATGCTGTTTGTATGAATGCTGTTTGTATGAATGCTGTTTGTATGAATGCTGTTTGTATGAATGCTGTTTGTATGAATGCTGTTTGTATGAATGCTGTTTGTATGAATGCTGTTTGTATGAATGCTGTTTGTATGAATGCTGTTAGTTTATTTTTCGTCGCTATATACAACAGAATACTTAATGTCAGTTCCTTCAGGAAATACAGTAGTTTAGATTAGTTTTCCCTCGAATCTCAATGTTTCCCTCGACTTCGTGTAGAGACTCTCGGGAGAAAACTATCTCCATTGGGATCGAACATGAAGTGTAAAATGTGGCCGTGGTATATACAGTAGCCTTTTAAATATTGAAGAGTTTTATAGATGGAAATTTCGAGTGGAATTTTTATACATTTATTAGACCTAACCAGAAGCAGTTGCGAAAAATACAACCATAGGCTCTCTGGTAGGAATCAAACCTAAGGCTCTAACCAACAGAGCTATACCGAGTCCAGTTGTCCAGCTCTAACCGCAAGTTCATGTATATCTATAGGCCCTCTGGCAAGAATCGGCATCACCTCAACATATGTACTGTATATGTATATCACAGTAATTTCAGAAGGGCCATTTTGGCCCCGAAAATGTGGCCGAAATTTTGACCCTGAGACGGCCCCATTTTAATGGGGCTGTTTTGGCCCCCATTAAAATAGAGCCAATTTGGACTATTATTAAAGGGCCATTTTGGCTATTATGTGGGGCTATTTTGGTTCTTTCGAAGGGCTGTTTTCAATCGTAGAATTAGAATGACATCAATTCCAGCTCCCAAAAAAGGGCCAATTTAGCTCGTACGTGGCTCTTTCAAAAAGGGCCGTTTTGGTGCTTTCAAAAGGGGCTGTTTTAGCTCTTTCAAAAGGGGCTGTTTTGGTTCTTTCAAAAGGGGCTGTTTTGGTGCTTCAAAAGGGGATGTTTTGATTCTAAAGACAGCACCATTTTATCGTTGCTCACTAGACATATTGATAACCACGCAACGCAAGTTTAAAAAGGTGTATTTACAAGTTTAACATTAAACTATGTAAAAGTGTTGTAAAAGAACTAATTATGCCATACATACTCTTTCTAACAAAGGGGTTAATCTATGGAATACATTAGATACAAAATTCAAAAGAATAAACTCTTACAATGTCTACAAAAGATTAATCAAACAACATGTTATAGTAAGCTAGATCATCTTCAACTTATATGCAATGACCACAGATATACAGCAACCGTTAATTCTATAGTGAAAATTGTGTAATCTTGTAACTGTATATTATGATATAATATCCTTCTTTTGTAAATAGTATATACTTTAAACTTGCTTCAATAATTACTCTTCCCTGTAAATATATATGCAATTTTTTTACAAACCTAACTAGTGGCCTACATTAAAAAGCCTGTAAAGGTTTCCAGTAGGTCTCTAGCCCAACACCTTCAAACTACACATAGTTTTGTTACTTATTATTGTACACATGGGAAATAAATATATGATTGATTGATTGGTGGGGCAATATATTGAGGTGGTGCCGATTCCTGCCAGAGGGCCTATAGTTGATTTTCGCAACTGCTCCTTATTAGGTCTAATAAATTTCCATTTACAAAACCCTTGAACAATTAGTTTTATAGCCTTGTAATTACCCTGTGTCACTGTGTTTCAGCTTCCAGTAGGTCCGAATGGTAGACCATATTTACCTGCAGAAATTGTGGAATTGAGTTCCAGCACAGACGAAGATGAGGAAGGAGAGGATACATCAACTGCAGCAGAAGGTGTAGAAGGTGGACACGATGCAGCGAATGATGAGAGGGAGAGTGAAGAAGATGCAACAAGTGAAACATTAGTGCAGGAAGAGACCATTCATGCTCATGGGTATGATGTCAATACTAACTATGTACAGTGGCGGACACTTCGCGAAATATGTCTACACTATACGATACACGATTGAGACTGATATTTTGTCATATATTTTCTGCAGAGAACACCGAGATTTTGGTGACAGTGAGCTTGGGTACATGGATAAATTAACTCAACAACGAGCTGCCTTGAGTCATCTCTTAGCTGAAAAACAGAAATTGCTGGAAACACAGGAACACTTGCAGAGACTCCGACAGAATGATGCCATGACACAGGTAGATGTAAATGATGCTTTAATTTGCAACAATCGAACTATATCATAAAACTCCAGTCCTCGAAATTAGCGACGACCGGCAAATGGCAATTGCCGCCGAAAGTGAAATTATCGACGGCAATTTTTCGCCGCGAAGATTTTTTTGGCATTGCCTTCTTTATTCGATTGATTCTTCTAAAAGATTTGCCGCCGTTTTATTAATATGAACAGATGACAATATTAATGATGATTATCTTTAGTTGCTCGTTCCAGTGTTTACAGAGAATTCGGTACACTATGACTAAGCTGTTGTAACCTTATTTGTTTTATTCCTTATTGTTCTGCTTATTAGTCATGTTGTGTAGTTGCTTTATAACATTGTTACAAACAATTTTAGAATGATGTCATGTAACAGAGTGAGCGCGCACAGGCGGTAAATACTGCATATCTTCTATTTTTGAAGTATTGAGAGGCAAAAAAATGCCATTTAACTTTTTAAAGACAAAAAAAATTGCCGCCGAACTCTAAAATATCGACGGCAATTTTTTGCCGACAAGGATTTATGCTAATTTCGAGGACTGCCCCTCGGTTAATATAAACCATGCGGAAACCACCAAATAATGCAGGGCGCGCCCAAATTAGTAAATTTAAATCTGATACTATTGTTTTATTACCCATTTAGACTAGACAATCAGATAGACATAAACCACTTGAAACCTTCATTCACAACCCAACTGAGGCAAGCACATCGCGACAAGGTGCGACTGCAGATTCCACAACACAGACATTAGTTTTCTCAGAGCCAAGACCTGACAAGTACCGCCAGCCTGGTAGGTGTATTTAGATACATCGTAATTAAGATGAAGTAAAGACCATTACAATTTACAAGCAGTAAGAATCAGTTCGTTTGGCTGATCCAATGTAACCTTAATTTGTGAATATTCTGCTAGCTATTCAATGATACGTATGGTGCCCCATTTACAATCCAGGTGATCTTGATACGCGGAAAAATACTGGCACTAGTTGTCAAATAGAAATCCATTTTATGATTAAAACAACTGAATATCTCCTGTAATATACTTTATTTCGATTTCATATTTTTGTCAGAGCTATAGTTCTCATAACCAAACATAATTACAAAATTTCAACTAGTTTCATAAAGAATAATGAAAGATATAATTGTCTGAATACATCAAAATGGATTTCTATTCGGACAACCCTTTCTGAGCGCTGATTGGCTAAAATACGAACACGAGATCACCTGGATACTGTGGCAATTCATTCTCGATAAATCAAAAATGCACATTTAGTCACGTACATTTCTACACCTTATGTAATTCAAAATTAGCAAGGTGTTTGGAACGACGTTAGGAATATGTGAAAGCGACATTTTTGGGTCACAATGGGTTTTAACAGTTTAACTCGTATGCAAATTGTTCTTCAAAACAAATAGAATTTGAAGTTAAAATATAAACAAAGGTGAAAGTTTTAGATGGAAAATTAATTTTTCGTGTTAAAAAGATTGTACCTAGTTTATAGATTTTAACAAGAATCGTGTTATAGTGTATAACGTAGGCTAGAATGTATCTTGATGGTATAAAATATTTGTGGTGAAAACAGTAAAGCAAGTGTATAAAATTTTCCAAGCAAAAGATAATTTTACACCCTGTGATATTGATTTGTCTGTCAACTGGCGTTGGTGTCACATTTTGTGGAGATACTGAAAACGATCCGGGAAACTACGTGTGTATTGAATTTCAAGTGTTGTATTGAAAGAATGTTTTAATGCAAAATGTCATATATACAGGTACATCAACGTCGAACACGTTGTTATGGAGAGAGTTACGACGTCAACGTGAGCTACAGGAGCAGAAATTAAAGAAACGTAAAGAGAGATTAATGTTAGAACGAAAAGGAAGAAGATCTGGATTGGAGAATGCTTCTGAGGATGAAGGTTTTGGTCGTAGTACATTAAGTGCAGATATTACTACAGCAACCTGGGGCGGATCAACACAGATGAGTAGCACTCAGAATGATTCCGCTGTATCTGAAGGATCATCACCTGATAGCGATGAAGAGGTACTGTACAGTTGTTTCATTTCGTCAATGAACCGTTCTGTGAAAACAGGACTTGGATCAGTATACAGCTAGTCTTCGTATAAATTACCACAAGTATATCAAGAGTATCCTAACGTCGCGACCCTTGATCACGAATTTATTGCACACTTCTAATGAGGCCTAATCTCAAATCTTTTATTCAAAAAATTAATAAAAATTTGTAGTCCGTGGAAATGTATAGCGAAATATGAACACAAATGTTCTATACTGATAATTCTGCGTTTATAACGTTCACTGATATGGCTAAATAACGGTACATTATACAAAACGATGGTTCTTTACTGTCGTTCCAATTGAAGTGTTCCTCGAATATTGATTCAATACGTTAGCTCGGGCTGACCAATTCATTTCATCAAGTTCCTCGAGATATTCATACACTTCCTAGTATAATTGTAAACTTCCTGTTGAATAGTTTGAGTGCACCAATCACCTTTGTTGTTTGTGCAACTAACCAATAAATAGAAAGGAAGTGACCAGAAATGATCAAATTCTTGGAATTGGCTCTTTCACAGGAAGTGTATGAATATCTCGAGGAACTTGATGAAATGAATTGGTCAGCCTGAGGTAATGTATTGAATCAATATTTGAGGAACACTTCAATTGGAACGACAGTAACTGCATTATATTTTTGAAAAGAACGTGAAAATTTATTTAGCCTTGAACCTCTATTTAGCTCCCACCCCCTCCCCACTTTTCTAATAAGCCCCCAATCCAGAGCTAAATAGAGGAAATACGGTACTTATATGTAATGTATCATAAATTCGTTACTAAAAATTCACACTAGAACGTTTTACTTCCGTCATAAATACAGTAATTACCATAAACACGTAAATGTTTAATTCATAAAGTAACAATACAAGAACCTAACACAGACAGTAAAAATACAAGAACCTTCCGCTTCTGTATTCTGTTGTAATTTTCTGCAAATTGTTCTGTTTTTCTGTAGCGGTTACCAAATTATGAGCAAATATGGCGACAAAATTTAGTTTTCGTTGTTTTATATGATAATTTGTAGCAAAGGCTGCATTTTTCGTTAGATTCACTGTATTTTAATACATAAAAGGTGCGGAATTTGAATTTTATCACGGCGTTTGTCTATAAATCGGTAACCGTTACAATATAAATACAGAACAAAATACAGAAAATGTCAGCAGACTGCGGAAGTGGGAAGGTTATTGGATTTTGACTGTAAGTTCATGACATTTTTGTAATATGTAGTTGAATTTCACCATCTTTGCAGATTTTAGTGGAGGTTGAAGATGACGCATCAGATGGTATCGTTCAAGCAGAAGAAGAAGAAGAGGAGGAAGGGAATTCTGAAGTTGATATATTTCCAACTACATCCACTGCTAACAGGAAACATTTCCCCAAAAGTGGAGTGAAACAGAATGCAAACCAGAAACGTTTACTATTTGGTATGTGTCAAGTATACTGTCCATTGAAGAAAAAACAGATTGTGTGAATATCTGTATATTTGCTTCATATATTCACTTCGAATTTTGTGTTTGGTATCATTGTAGAAGGGTTACGGAAACAAGACCTAGAAAGACATGAAAGATTTAAAGGTTGGCAGAACTCTTTGTTCCCATCAGGAAATAAGAAGAGTGGCAAAAAGCCACAGGTAAATTATTTTTAAGCACCTCTTGCGTGGAATTTCTCAAGCACGTTTCAGTCTGTTCTCAATTCTTAAAAGATTTTTCTATCAAAAGGAGACCAGAAAATATCATTGTGCGGTTACGTTTAAACTGTACATACAATGACCACGTTTTTGCTTATTTCTTTGAAGAGATATCGTATTGCATGTGTTTCTCAAACTATTATTGATTGCGATGAAAGATTTTCCTGTACTTTAAATAGTGATATAGTGAAAGTTTAATAGCTATCATACTAAATTGATATTTGGTTCAGATTTGAAAAGAGTAATTTTCCTGGACAGTTGCAGTGATATTAGAGAGCTTAAGCTTCGCGTTCAACGACAAGCGTCAGGCAAAGAAAAATTTTACGCTATAAAGCAATAACAAGTAAATGGGCGTGTTGTTTTATAACTAGAATGCTTAACTATTCCTGTGTCACATGAAAGAAAATATGACACATAGAAATCGAACGAAAATTATGCCAAGAAAATTCGGCCTTGCCGTTCCCGCAAACGTGAAGCTTAAACTCCCTAATATTTTTATTATTACTACAAGCCTTATTTTGCATAACATGCATGCATGGTGTGTATTACTCTCAGTGTGCTCACACCAGGCATGCTGAAAAGTTTGCTTGACTCCGGTGGGAATCGAACCCGAATCATCTTCATTACATGAGATGCTCATTCAAAGGGCCGTTACGACTTACAAGAGAATAAGTAAAAGTAGACAATGGAGGTTTTTGATTGTTTGATCTTGTATTATGTCACAAAAAAGGGCCCTTGTAGAACTAATGTTGAAGGATTTTGTTGATGGAAATTTTCGAGTATGCCCTTGCCTGAAAATGCTGTCTCTTTCGGGGTTGTTTTTTTTTGTTATCGCAAGTGTGACTTTCCATTGCGGCATCGTGGGCTCAGGATTGCACAATTTAGCTATAACATGCTCACGACGATTTTAGGACCAATTCTACACAATGTTAATCGGAACGAATTTCGTATTTAACTACGTTACAAATCTTAGACGCTGTAATTGTGGGACGTATTATATTGCATTGCGCATGAACTTTTCTGTATTTTTCGATATGATATCGCTGAACTCTATTTGTTTTGTATGAATTTTTATTGTGCCGTCCTCTCAATGTTTGTGATCATGAAGTGACGGCCGTCAAGAAGTGAAGAACATCTACATGTTTCAAATTAATTTTTAGAATATTGCGATGGTATTTTACCAACCGCGAGGCCAGTGAACGCCAGAGCAGGCGTCTTGCTACTTTTATTTAGACCTAACCAGGAGCAGCTGCGAAAAATGCAACAACAGACCCTCTGACAGGAACTGAACCTGCAGTCTTTAAGCCAGAGGGCCTATAGTGGTATATATAATGTATATAAAATCAATCTACAAAATCTTTCAACATTAGTATTCAAAAATCCTTGTAGATCTACATGTGGAAAGATTTCTATTTAATTTTTTTGAAGCGTTTCTCAAATCCCGAAGAACTTCATGAAGAAGAACAATACAGTGCTCGAGAGAGGTCGATGTGGGAGAGACAATTTAATGTTTTGCAAGGACAGTTGGAGAACACCACTTCACTTTGCAATACATTATTACGAGATCAACAAACCCTCATATCTGTTCTTCTAAATCGCGGAGAAACTACTCAGCCTTCAAGAGTTGGTATGTAGTCCGGTTTGAGTTGCAATTTGCCCGACGTTTTTGGTCGTATGAATTTGTTTCTTCTATCTTTATGCCGGTTATTACTTATATTCTCCACATCACGACAGATCAGTTCACTTATTGCTTGCCAATGTTCACCACTCCACGTGTCAAGTCGCTCAACTGACTACATGACATTGTTTATTTAAGTGTAGACTAATTAGAGGTCTTTGTTCAACTATATTTTATGTCAAAGTTTCATTGTTCCCAGGGATGGATCCAGCATGATCTTGGGGGGGTGCTCTGCCAGCTCTGTTCCCGAGTTGTGTCATGTGTGCCGCTCGCCCATCAACATACTGTATTGTATTTGAATTATAATTGTTGTTTACAGTTCGCTTATCATGTTATTGCTCAAATTACTGTATCTCATTTTGTCTCTATCATTTTTTGCTTTATGACAAATAACACACACCCCCTTCACTCCCTCTGGCCAGGGCTAGGGGGTGACCCCCCTCCCCCACCCACAAACACACATGCACACACACCAGTAAATCCATCCCTGATTGTTCTGTTCATGTTATGTTCATTGTTCATGTCACGTCTACTTCAAAATTCCATTGTTCCTTTGCTAATTGTGTAAACCATCAGATATTCTGCGGTCAGTTATACTGTATTGTGTAGTGTACCGTTCGTCCATAAATTAATCTTACATACTTTGATATAGGTCCGAATTCCTTCAGTCAATACCAACAAAGACAACAAGAAGCATTACATGGAATTCAGAATTATTTCGAACAACAACGTTTCCTTGTGCAACAACAGCAAATGCTGCAGAATCTTACCGAGTGTTATTCCCAGATGCAACAACAACATGAAGACATGTTACATTTACAGCAAAGTTTTGCACAATTGTTTACCCATCCAGCAGAACGCACGCCGAGTGCTAGACCTTCAGCTACTCCTAATGCTCCAGCAACATCTTTGGGAAATTCTCGTACTCCCAACTCATTTAGTTTCCAACCATCGACTTCCTTCAGTTATCGCCCACAGGAGTGTGAACGTGAAACACCTCCACCTTCACCATTTACGGCTACACAGGTATGCAGTTGTTTTTCTCTGCGTGGTAGAACAATGGCAAAAATGGTGAATATGCAGTTCTAAATATACAGTAATAATGTAAATTATAATATAGCATTTGTAAATTCTGAACGCTGATTGGCTAATAGCCGTGTTGATATAACTCAATGTCAACACGGAAACGTCGGAAAATTTCTTTCTTTATATCTCTTTGTGCTATATTATAAAACAAATATAAAACATTTTTTCCGTATTGATATATATATAGTTATATCAACACTCGTGGAAATTGGGAAAACTCGAAATTGTGTGAAAACACTCCGCCCCCAATTCCACTCGTGTTGATATAACCGTATATCAACACGGAAAATGTTTTATATTTGTGAAATATACTCAACTGTATAATTTACATCTTCATTTTTTATCAAACTAATTAACCTATAAGCGACCTAGTCCTATTGAAAAGGCTGTCTTAAAACGTACTTCCCCCGACCTCAAATTGCTTCATACGCCCTTTGGCTAACATGCATAGTCGTAACTTAACGGAGAATTCTTCCACAGTAAGTTTTTTATGCCTTTTTTTATCTTCCCAGGCCAAGCCCTCAGTTGAACGACACGTTCGCGCTGCAGATTCTTCAACGTTTCAACAGCGTCCTTATGCAGCTATGCCGTTCCCATGGCTACCTGGACTTCGAAATAGACAATTCCAGTTTGTGGGAAGCACCAATCCCGACACAGGTGTCCCAAGTCCTGAAGCAAGTACTAGTCGAGCGTACAACCAAGCAACTGGTCCGGTCAAACCTGTTTCAGCTCGAGTTGTAAGTGCCACAAATACCAGCGCTGGAAGTCCTTCGCTTGCTTACAACCCTGTAACATATAGTGGTAAGTGTTGTACAACATGCGAGGCCCTCCGCGTCTTTTCGCACGCGGCAAGTTTCCATATTCGGAAAGACACCTTCGATGTATTGAGATATTTAATTTCGCCAAAAATTCCATAAGTAATGCTTTCCGTTTCACCTTTCGCCAAACGGATAACAATTTTGCCGAATTCCTGACGACTGGGGGGGTGCACACATCCTCGAACGACGTTTAATTCTGTCTGTTGTAAAAGTTTTGGGCACCCGTTACACCCATAATCTACACCCATAATCTGCACCCGCACTGCACCCACAAAGTTGAAAATGCAAAATGCAAGGGGTGCACTTGCACCCGCTGCACCCGTGATTCCGGCATCCCCGCCAATCCCGTTCCTGGTAACAATTTCTATAAAACGTTAATTGACGGTTTAAAATTAGAATGTAAACATGCTAAAATCTGTGTTTATTGAGTTTTCTCACTCATTGGTGAGCGGATTTCCCTATAGGCAATAGCCCAATTGATAGGGGATCCGGGGTACCTACGATCTTAATATCCTTGTCCGAGAAGACGCGAAAGTCTAACCATTTACTGATGTCAATGTGGGAGTGGATCTCTGGGAGTCACTAATTTATACTCAAGGAAGCACTTTTTCCATTACTTTCTCCGACCAAGGCTTGAAAGGCGAGCGTGGTGGCCACGGCACCATAAGAGCTGGTTGTGGGTGTGGTTATAAACAATTGTGGGAGTGGTATGAATTTTTGATGTGATAAAATTTCGTTATAAGATAAGTGAATTCCACGTTATAAGTACGCGAAAACAAGCTATATGCAGGCAGACACTGATTGAACTATTAAAGAAAACAATTTACTCCTACTAAAATGCATAAAACTAAAAAATCTCCATGCAGATTCTAAAGCAAGTGGTGGCAGAAATGTCGTCGTTGGTAAACAGTTTCCTACACCTCTACGTGCTACAGCAGCAGCGCAACTAGCCGAACAAGATAAATCTAACTGGCGTGGAGTGAAGAGAAGAAGAGAGGAAGACAAAATAGAGACTGACTCTATTTCATCACATCAGTCAAGTTTACCTGGAGACTCGGAAAAGCCTGGCACGTGAGTATGATCTCCTATTTGTTTAGCAAGGACCTAAAATATCTATCTAAACTATCTACTTCTTTCCCACTTGAAAGCCTGGTTGCACATGTGGTGATATAAGCCAACTATAGTTGCAATTTAGATCCCGCGCCCCCTAAATATTTCGCGAAATATCCCCAGTAATTATTACGTTTGTTTTTATCGTATCCGTTTAGGGAATCGGACGCTCAAAGTGATTACTCGTTGTTTGAAGCTCTTCGCGACTCCATTTATGCTGAAGTTGCAACTCTCATATCACAAAATGAATCCAGACCTCATTTCTTGGTAAGCACTTCACATACATAGTATTAGTGCAGAAACCATAAAAAAACGAGTGATTTCTCGAACTTTGACAGATCAATCATGGTGTACAAATATACCAATGCCTATTTTATCGTTATTAGATTGAATTGTTCCGAGAATTACAGCTACTTGGCTCAGATTATCTACGACAGCGCGCACTTTATTCGTTGAGAGATTTAGTCACTCGCTTTCTGAAGGACGACCCTCCTGGAGGAACAATTGAGTCGGCTATGGTATATTTCTCATTCTTTTTTCTATTGATAAGAATTTTGTTACCACTTAATTTGAAGCTAGCTATTTTCGCTATGGGAGAAGTAAGCTCACGGTAAACTCAAGGTAGTAATTTGTGACGGCGGCGAGACTGAATTTCATAGGCCATTTCCGAGGTGGGTCGGACTATAGAACGTACTATCATTCCCAAATTACTAATTAGCTGTTACACTATGTCTGTTCTGAGCTACTTGTTATCGTTATTACTGTGCATCATGTTAGTTCACTGTTTGAATTAGATATTTAGAGAATACTAGGAAACACTCTATAGTACCCTTATTTCTCATGTTCAAAATTTGTTGCATATTAAAATTTGATCATCATGAACAAAGCATTAAAGTTTTGTATTCCAATATAGGGTGCATATTCTTGGCTGGCATCCGCATCGGAGCAAACACCCAGTGAAAGTGCCGGCTTTTCAGAAACTGATCAAGATCAGGTTAGTAAATTTATCATGCAGGACCTGCGTGTCAATTAATAATTTTAGAATCTCTTAGGATCTGTACGGGTGAGACTCTGAAAGAGCATCACTAACAACACTCTGACAGAGCATCACTAACAACAAAATATGACGACGCACGACGTATTGAACTTCTTTTGAACCATATTACTACAGTACGAAGTGGGACATTTTACAACGCAGACTATGACATACAGGAATTCTGTGCAACATACAATATGTCCACGATTGTATGGGATCGTTTTTTGTGACCCTTGTTTTGCGCGCCTTTAAACACATACACATGTAAACGGGGACGGCCAGAACCATCTCAATTTATAATAAAACAATACAATACCACCCAAATCGTGAAAGAAATAGCGAAAGGGTTTTTTCAACTGTTTGAAAGTTGCAGGGAAAAATCATTGCATGGATCATAAAGATGTTGAAATATGAAAATAATCGGATTTACCATACTAAACATTATTGGGGATAACATATTTATTTGCCAACTACTTTGAACATCTGCTAATTGGCATTAGTTTTATATTCAATGAATCATTATTCTCACGATTACTATACGTGATATTTTTTACCTAGGACAAAATGAAAGTACCTGAAATCTCTACACAAGGTATCTACGACTATGTCGAGGCAGTGGATTCAGGAAGTTCGTTGTCCACACCAAATAGCGGCAACCATGAACCTTTTGCTTCAGAGTTTCTTGGTGAAACTGTTATCCACTTGGACAAGGTACATTTGTATTTCATTATTTAAACGAATTCATGATTTCTGATTGGCTAACAGCCAACGGTGAAATCGTCATATCAACTCATACAATGTCTGACCAAATATGTCAATGGTGTTATATTATTGTGTAATATGGAGAATTATCACACGATGACGTAATATATTCATGCAATGTGGGAACACGAACAAAAACTAAAATTATGTACTGCAAATTCAAAGTTTGAAGTAGCCCACATTTGACTTTGCAGGCATTGAAGTCGATGCGGGAACGTGAACACCATGACTCGGAACGTTCTAGCGCTACAGGAAATGAAGGTGCAACTGCTGGCGTTCAAGGTGACACAAGTTCCGCTGGTGATGTAGCCAGTGAATCCTCATTACCAGATATACAAGTAAGTGAAAATTACAATTGCTTTATGACAGGGATTTAGTACAACATGTTTCAAATTTGGAAAATTCGCTATTTAGATCTGAAGTTCTGAACTATTATAAGTATTATTTATTGTTGAAAAGGAGAAAATGGAAACTCTTTTTGAAATAGAAATTATTTTTTTAAAAGCGCTACTAGGTTGTTTTGACTGCAGATTGGAACGCGAATGCTGGTGCTTAAATATAATTTTACGATCAGAAAACGTCTAAACAAAAATGACTGCTGGAATTGTTTTACTATATGGCAGTAAAGACGTGCCAATGTGATCTCTTTTGTTTAAATAATCGAACACGATAATAAACTTGGTGACGCTAACGCGACCTTATAGCTTTTAAAAAAGTAGCAAAAATTTTCCACGTTGTGTCAGCTTGATTATTCACATAATTTTTGTACCTGTGCAGGCACAGATATATAGCGGTCGTGCAGGTAAGTTTGTCTGTGAGTATGTTACCTTAGCCAATCGGTGGCTAGTATGTTAGCTCGTAGTCTATCAGCTACTATTATTACGTAATTACATTAGGAAACGTTATCTCCTGCGACGCACAGGTTATACAGGGAGTACACCTTAAAACAACATGAAGCTACGGAAGTTAATTCCACGGGGAAATAAATACTCGTGTTCCATAACGAACGACGAGCAAATTTTTAGTTCCTGTAGCTGGGACAGATTGATATTTAAGAATTCTTTTATCATAGCCAATATAGTCTTAAATGTGAATCTTGATATCTTGATATGTCTTTTTTAGTCTGGTAATCATCCGTCTTAGCTAAAATGTGTAATATTCAATTCAGGCGAGAATTTTTTTATTCATTGGTTTACGGATCCGCCGACCGTAAATATTCAGAAAGTAAAAAATTAAAAAAATAAATTTGGATGTCAACAATTTTAGTTAATTTTAGTTAATGAAGTTGAATATGTTAATTGTTGTGACGCAGATGCGTTGGCAGACTGAAAACACCCTCGGGCAGATAGAGCCTTCAGAACATATTACTCCATTAACCGCAATTTATAGCTTTGCTTAAGGAGGCTCCCTACAGTTCCGTGCGGGATGTTCGCGGGACAAGTACGTGAACTATCCCACGCAACTGCATGATCAAAACAAAACAAAAATTGACCATGCTTTTTTTAAAAATAAAGCTATTTCTGAAAGGTTTCTAATGGAAAAAAGCGTTGAATAATACTTCGTTTTGAGTGCCAAATCACTTGCGAGTCTATACAGCAATTCTACATATGATACGAATATCACTAGACCAAAAAATAGCTACGAAATAATATTTTTAAATTTTTTTATACACTGCCAACTGACTCAACTGTAAAACATTTGCAAAATTGTATACAAACGTTGTTTACTTCTCAAGAAAACGTTCACGTTTTTAGTCGTGTTTCTACAAGATTAAAGTGATTATATGTAAACAGAAAAATATTTCAGTTTCATAGCCTAATTGTTCATTTTTAGCAAAAAGTACAAAACCAAACATGAAACAAAAAAACACGTCCACCTGTTAATAGGCTGTTACAGCTCATAGATTGAGTAAACGGCAGGATTCAATTAGCTTCAACCTTGTTTTCATCGATTTAATCCTTCACAATAATCCTTGGCTGTCCATAGCACTCAAATAAATCGAAAAGTTGACAAAAACAAAACAGTAAAAACAACATTGCGGCTCGATTTTGCTGAATGAAAACTCGTTCTGCGCCCGCGTACAATCTTTTACTAGTCAGCGACGCTTTTCAATAGGGGAATTTCTCGAGTTACACGAGGCTATTTTCTAACTTTATTTGCATTTTACTCATTAGTTTCATCGGTGACCTATCTTCAAATTTTGACCACGAATTTATTTTGCGGTAAATTTTATAAATTTCAAATTTTAAAAAAATCTGTAGTGTGGAAATTTCGCAATAAATTTTTCGCTTTTAAAAAAATCACACACTACAGAATTTTTTTAAACTTTCACCACAGTTGCAGAGCATCATTCCTTATTGATATATGAAATAAAAAAGATAGGTCACCGACATCGTTTTTGAGATAGCGGCACATTTATGGGTTAAATTGGAAGGCTTTATGCTGTCGTCATGTTGCCATGGGAACATTGACATCGTCGAAATCTAGTTCGAAATATTCCTTAGGTGGCCAATATTGCCACCAAGTCGAAAAGAATTCGCGTTCTGCACGAATAAGCCTGTTTTACGGAATTATTGCTTAAACAAGAATAACTGTAGGGAGCCACCTTAAATTGATTATTTAATTTTGGGTTCAGACATGAAGTACAGGCCAAGTAAACTTTGACTCTAAGTACTGCTGGCTCATGTTATCGTTGTGACAATCAATATGGAGATTAGCCATGTTTTTTGCGTTTTTGAAGTTAACGTTAAGAAATTTAATAGAGATTATTAAATTTGGTTTCTCATGTTATACTCAGTGTGTTTTCTTTTAAATTTTTCCCGACCTACCGACCTGGGTTTTTTTAAGTCAAATCCGTAAACCAATAAATAAAAAAAGTCTTGCCTCATGTCATTCGTATTCTATTCTCACAACGGCTGCGAAGAGTAAATATTTCGATTATGCCAAGTTATAGGGCCAATCATAGGACATTGTCTGACCATTATTATCCATTATTAGTATCCAAAGATTGATACACAAGCACTGGATCGTCAAATCAAGAAGATTATGGCGGTAATCAACTTTTTATTATTCAATTTCGCTAACTTTTACGTTATAACCAGCTGCAAGTTAATGAAAAAATATTAAGTATAGGTGGAAATTGACACACTCATCTATAATCAGCTACCCACATAAAAATCTCACAACTTGTCAACAAGATGTGTTCGCATGCAACAGGCTTGTAGCAAGCTTGTCAACAAGTTGTGACAATGCTGTTATTTTATCAAGTTGCAACAAGGTTGTCACTCACAACTTGTTGACAAATTGTTGAATTCCAGGACGATAACAAGTTGTTGGAACAACCTGTAACAAGTCTGTTGAGGTCAAAAACTGTGTAGCAAGTTGTCAACAAGCCGTTGTCAACAATCAGTGCGAACACATCCTGTTGACAAGTTGTTGGAACAGCATTGCTACACGTCTGCTGCAGGTTTGTTACAACTTGTGCGTTTTTACGTGTGTACCTGCAACCACTATGTGGGGATGATTCGTTGTGTTCATCATTTTCAGGAAGTTATACCGTGTTTAAATGATCACATGGAAGACACATGCTCAATAGAATTACTGGAGTACATTAGAAAAATGGTTATGGGTATGATACAACAGAAAAACGAAGCAAAAGTATGTACCTACAATAGTTGTAAAGAATACGATATTTCCTTCAATTACACATGTAAATTGTCCATCATTAATGTGTTTTTGTGACTATTTATCTTGCTCAATTACATCAGGAGTTCAGTAGATTCTTCCACAAACAGTTGGAATCCATATTACAAGATTCTCTAGCGAAGTTTATTGGAAAGCGGTGAGAATTAAATTTACATTCATGTCGTTCATCCCTGGCGATATGGCGCGTTTTTCTTGTATCGTAGAGATATACAATCAGTGATAAAATACTTTGGACAGAATACAAAAATCGCGCACGTTTATAAGATGTGTAATCGACCCCGGCCGCGCGCCCGTTCAATGTTGTTTGGAAAATGTTGCGAGGGAGGGATGGTGTTGCTGAACGTCATGCTGATCAGTATTTCGAAATGTGCAGTTATCTATATAGTATATTACTGTCCAAAAGCTTTTTGTCACTGTTTGTAGATTACGAAGTGAATTTCTTTTAAGGGCGATTTTCTTCTTCTGATGGATGTGAACGAGTGAAGAATGAGTTATGAATTATTGAATGTTCAGATGAGTTACATATGCTCAGAACATTCAAAACTCATCTACTCATTCACATCCATCAGAAGACGAAATCGCAGCAAAAATTGCAAGTGTGAACCGTCCCTTTGTATTTCTTCTAGTATGAAGGACTGCGGTGAAGATCTACTGGTAGATATTTCTGAAATCCTGTTCAATGAGCTAGCATTTTACAAGCTGATGCAGGAGCTAGATGGGTGTGTATATATTGCGACAATAATCAATAGAAAAAATTCGCTTGCATGTCAATCAGATGCAACTTGACCATTTCAGATGACGTATCGTAACAGATTCGTTGTTTAGCTTGTAGTAGTAGCAAAATTCGCTTGCATGACAATTAGATGTAAATTGGCCATTTCGGGTAAATTTACATCTAATTGTCATGCAAGGGAATTGTCTATTTGTCTCAGAATAAAGTTGTATAAGTTAATTTGCTGTGTGGTATTTACCGTCCATGTACTGTACGTCTTCAGCGAGGTAGAAGCCTAAAGGAAACAGTCTTGAAATGAGGTTGAAATATGTTCAACACTAATTCCGAAGGGCGTTCTTCTCACCGTCACTTGGGGACGATAAAGAAGAGATCATATATTTGTGTTTATCATTTTAGGGGAGCAAAGGCAAAATTCTTCAACAGAGAACAGGTATGTAGGTTATCAAATGAACTACATTTCAAAAATTTCAAGAGATAAACCCTATCACCGTTATCAAAACATTTTGCTTTGTTGACAAATTGTATATCATTTTCTCTGATAGAAATACCGGATGGAAAATGCGGCAGCCCGCAACAGCCGTAATCAGGAAGACAATCCTGGGGAAACTAGGTGAGTTTAAAAGATTTAGACTGGTTGTACGGTCTCTTATATACCCATCAGATTGTATAGCATCTTAAAAAACTCAATAATTCAGGAGGAAAACATAAAGAAAAATCATAAGCGTGTCGTGGTTTTATATGTGATGAGAAATCATGTTAATTTACATAAACTTTAGCTTTGATTTTCTCGGTTTAGACAAAGTTTATTTTAAAAATTACTTCGCCAATGAACTCGTATAAGTGAGTCGTTTTTTAAGCTATTTAAAGCACTTGTAGTCGTGTTTTATCACATATAAAACACTCCGCTACGCGTCGTGTTTTATATGTGATAAAACACTCCTATACGCGTGCTTTAAATAGTACTTAAACCTCGCTAAAATACTAAAAACGTTTGTAGGAAGCTTGCTAATGGGACAAAAGCATTTAACGCTAATTATAGGCAGAAGGCCTTCATAAGCTTTTAAGCAAAATAAGGTGTTGTTCAACAATCATGCTTTGAAACTTGGTTATCTCTAATCTTTAAGTACTGGTGTTTAATAATAATAGGAAACAATATATATATAACTATCACGCTGGAAAAATTGGGAGAATGTTAAGTTCATATTGTTCAATTATCATTGTTCGTTGTCCATACATGCTTTCTGCAGTTGTAAAAGTGGTTTGCGAATTTTTTGTACTCGTCTAATGTGTTCGTTTGATGAAAGTTTCTCATATTCCTTTTGTGTTTAAGTCAAAACACGACAGCAGAAGTGAAAGATGAGGACGAAGTTGTAGTTGAGAATGAGAATGCTGAAGATCAGGAAGATGAAGGCTCTTCAAGTTCATCATCAGAATGGCAAGTTGTTGATGAAACAACTGAAGATAAACCAGAAGATATGATGTCACGTGAACAGCTCGAACAGGATGAAGAAACTTTAGGAAGAGATAGAGATGATGCTATGGCAGAAGAATTTGATGAACCAAGAGAGTAAGTATCAGTTTTATGCCGTATGTACATAATGTGTGTTCCATTGAACCAATCAAAAATTCAAAATACTGCATTTTGCAGATGCACTGCCTTGGCATAAAATAAATAATGATACAAACGGACCAACCATGAAGTAATTTCTGTATTATATAGTTTTGACGCAAGTGAAGTATATCTAGCCTTAAAACAGATTTTTAACCATTTCTTTATTTTCTTGTTAGAATTTCAATATTCTTTGTGTGTTTTCGTGACGACAGTATAGTCGCTTTATTAGTGTTAAAGGCCAATAAACTTCGCTAAAGCGAGCCCGAAGTATAAATTATCGATTAGTTTATATTTATCCATTTCTTGTCCGAATTCGAAACAAAGAAGTTCTTTTTCAGCATTTTACCTGGTGTGTTTTCCTGACGACAATATTACCTTTTGTTTATTGGCATATAAGTCAACAATCCCACTTTCACGACTTTGATAACATGCACGTACTTTTACGTTACTGACAATCTTGTATTATTTTCAGCGAAGCCGAAGCAGCAGACACAGAATCATCTCAGGTAAGATAAGTAAGATTTAAAAGTTTTCTTCAAGTTAGTTGATTAATATCTGCATGAAATAATTAAATTTCTTTCTTTAGTGCATCAAGATTGTTGAACTTTCCATGAGTGAATCAAGACCACTAGCTCGGTACGTAAGTGTTAAATTAGCATTATGCAGTGTCCAGGATATCAGATTAAATACCATGTGGTATATCCTAAAATACACATTTCGAAGTACTTTACAGTTGTAAGCCAATACCAATGTACTTTACTATATTATTGTTAGTGCTGTGCAAACTCCGGTTTTTCGGCTCCGGCCGAATTATAGCTCTGAGCTCCGGCCACATCATAAAATATTAAATAAATATTTTAATATTTTACGATCAGAGAACATTTATTAATATTATTATGAATAACCCTTTTCATGCTTCCTAATTATCAGATAACATAACTCAGGAAACAAAACAGTGAAATATCTATATGGAAACCAGCCAGTGTTGCAATTTTTATATAGCATGACGCGAGGCATGACGCTAACACTCTCAGACTCCACAGCGCAATTGTTCGCATGCAAACAAAGTACTCTGTCATTTTCAAAAGGTTGATATTTATTTGTTTCGTACTTTTTCGTTATCTACAAGGCATGAATACACAGACTATGTAGCGCTAAGTCAGATGGCTTCATGAAAGCATTATGACGTTTGTAAGTTGCGATCGTATTACAGCTTTTCCACGCTGTTCCTGTGGGCTGTGGCAGTTTGAGTTTATGATGAATTCATTAACAGCAATTGGCAGTTTGCAGTAACTAACAATCGTTTGACATTTGTCTCATTTCATATTGTTTTCTTGTCATTTTGCCGGAGCTAGGAAAACGTAACTCCGGCTCCGGGCTCCGGCATACAAAATTCGGCTCCGACGGAGCTCCGGCAGAACTCCGGCAGCTCCGGAGCACAGCACTAACTACTGTATACTATATTTATGAAGTAAACACACAAATAAACAATTAAAAATAGGCATTCGTTGAGTCCATATAAGGTAAACATTGCCCGTTAAATAAGATTTTTCGCTAGTCCAGTTAGAACCTGGCAATTTCAGTCTGGCTCTCCGTGCGCCACGTTTGACTCCAGTAAGATCCCATTAGGCGGGCTGGCCCAGTTTCCATGTAAATCGAATATATTTCGTAAAGCGAATTTGTATGAAGTCACGCGTCTTGATTAACTAAGCCAGCCCTCCTTCGGGCCTCGTATAAACAGCCCCGAAATATTTCACACAATAATAAGGAAGCGTGTCAGGGTCATGCATTGTTGTTTTTATCTTACCCCCAGTATGCAACAAATGAAAATGCTTTGTTAAGTACATTTCCTTTATACATCAGATAAAGGGAGAGCGGATTGCCGAAGGATGTTGAGATATATGATGGATTAAAAAACATCCACATCTTGTGTGAATTTGAGCCCGCAATATCTATCTAGAATAACCAACATTTGTGGTCCTTGTATGATGTATAAAAGTGTAACTACAGCTTAAAGGGTTATTACCATATGTCCCGCCTGTTTCAGATTTGAAAATACGTGCATACTAAACGCTAACATCGCCATCTGTATAAATTGTTAACATTAAGTAAAACCTTAAATCAGCTTGACAAATCGCAATTTGTAATCGTATGCAAACTGTATTTAATAACTTTTCCAGTAATGGCAGTGATGAAGAAAGTGAGGTGGATATCGCTGGTGAAGTTAATGAAGAGAATGCTGAAGGTGCAGTTTGGAATGGAAATATGAATGGAAGTCAAGATCACAACATGTTACCAAGTCAAATGGCAGCTGCTAATGGAGCCGAGGCAGCTGCAGAAGAAGAGGAAGGGGCAAGTGGCAGTAATGAAAACAAACAGGTTAGGACACTCTACTCGTCTTTTCATTATAACTTATGTGTATTCTCATAAATTGATATGTATATTAATAAACGACACGAAACGTAATATATGTGAGATGGTTGGCAACAAGCGGTGGTAAAATCATGGTACCTGCTGTTTTTCGTATTAAATTAAATTTAGTGTTTGTCTTTGTCCTTGCGTTGACGGAGGACTGGCTCCAAGATGTTATTATTAAAATTTGCATGTTCCCCTAAGGGCTTTTCAACATTACATATGAAGATGTTCTTTAAGTTTTTTCTTAAAAATTTTTTCTTATCAATTCGTCATCGATTTCATTGGCCTTATCTTTACCGCACGATAGTGAAATGTTCTTTGCCCGCTGCAGTTCTTAGTTTTATAACTTGGGATATCTAAACAGTGGTTATTTCTAGTCTGGCAATTATGAATATCGGATCTTTTTACAAACTTATCTGCAAGGCAACTTGGCGCAAGATTGTTCAGACATTTTTAAGCTATTACCGTGTCCTTGTAAATGAGTAACTTTTTAACAGATAGATGGTTTAAGAGTTTTTCCCAAAACCTTTAGGTTGATTTGTGTTGATAGATTCTGTAGCATTGATCTTGTACCCACTAAGAGGAATTTGGTTTTGTCAGGGTTAATAAACAGTTGCATGGTGTTCCATGTATCATTTAGTAGATATGAACTTGTCCGAAAACTTTCAGAACCTTGGTAACTTTTGGCATGACTTAGTTGACGTATTCATTTGTTGTTTCTTGCTATTTTTACCAAAGGAAGAAGACCAAGATGACGATCTTCCAACAAAATTTACAGGCTTAACTGAGGTACGTTAAGAATTTTAAGGAAGGAGATCTGACCCTTCAGGATAATACCTACCACTGTGAGTAACCTGAAGTTCAGGCCCTAATCACAGAATAGGGCCTGACACAAAACCTGTCTAGACCGTGGGACGCCCACATGTTATTTTTAAATACAGCATGATTGACAAGTGTTGTAAATTTCGTATGATCTCGTGGCACAAAAATTTATATTCTCATGAACATGTCCGCAGAGTGTGCATTTTGCTTTTTAATTAAACTTAAAAATTCAAGGTACCTTTATATAATTAAGAGTCAGTTTCTCTATTTAACCGAACAGCAAACAAAGATTTAATTAGTCAGTTCTGTGCACGGCTTGACTGCCAAGCTTTCTCAAGGTCTCAACTTGCTGGACGCGGATATACTCTAACGGGCTAACAACAGCAACAATGAAATTCTCAATCGTACCACAAAGAAGGCGATGTAGCTCAGAAAACAACGCCGGTAGGACCTGATATTAAAAATAAGACTTTTGCCGGCGAAGCCAGTTGGCAGAACATCTTGGCTGTCAACAACAAGCTTTCGAATGTATGACTAGTTTGGCTGTTCTTCAGCGTCGTGTGTCCAAAATTCGTCAAAGATTTTGATAAAGCCCTTTCAAAATACTGTTTGTTTGATTTATTTTCTGCCATAAAGCATAAAAGAAAAGAAATTCGAAGAAATCGATAATGGAATTTGTTACGTGCGTTTGACCTTTATATTAATTGTCGCCTTGAGCCCTTGATTAAAACGGTTGTTTATGTGAACTTGCAACCAATCAAAATCTTTCATGATGCTGTTCAACCAATCAGATTTCCCGTCCACCAGATGGACGGGAATCCCACTGTTTAGATAGGTTTTGTGTCGGGCCCTATTCTGTGATTAGGGCCTGAACTTCAGGTTACACTGTGAGTGGCTTTTTCACACTGATCTCATGGTTTATATTTTGGACAACAGCTCCCTTTCACGCCTGCTGCGCAACGTTTTGGGTTTTCACGTGTAATTATTTTAGTATATTACGATAGTTGTCTTATAATTATGATTGAACTTGTTTTATTCTTTAAGGCTGATTTACAAGTGAAAATAGCAGAAGAGCAAAGTCGTAATGATGGTATTAGTGGCATTGTTGTGTCTATGGATAACGGAGATGGTGTGTTTCGTTTAAGTTGCTATTTTTTTAGAAACAATGTTGATTTAAAAACGATATGCAGGGAATGTGCTATGTATAAGATTCTCCAGCGGTGGAGAATAGGGAGTGGGAATTTAGTTGGCTAGCATGTTCCAGTGTCCTGGTGCAGTGACTCGAACACAATTAAAATTAAGCTAAATCGACAGCTGCTCGTTGAGAGATACAACTACCTGAAAAATATAAGCAGAAGGCCGAAGAAGGGCTTTGCTCGAAACGTCGTAGCTCAGCTTATATTTTCAGGTAATTATATCCCTCTCAATCCCCAGCTATCTGTTATCGTCGCTACCTACACTGGCCGTTCAAGATTGGCCTGTCGAGACCTTTACCCATTTGTTGCACCGTTTATTAGGTACAGTTCAAAGTATTTAAGAAGATATTGTTGGTTATTCCCCCTATGTTATCCGCCACTGAGCTTAACCACATCCTTATACACTATATATTCTATAAACCTGCGTTAAATCTGATTTGTGGCGAAAATCCAAAACAATTTATTCACATTATTAGTTCACTTTTCTTCCTTAAGACTCGTTTTTGCTCAGCAATTTTTGCTGCGATTCAAGGTGCGATTGTCTTCTTCTGATGGATGTGAACGAGTGGATAAGTTATGAATGTTCAGATGAGGATACATGTGCTCAGAACATTCGTATCTCCTCTACTCGTTCACATGAAAATCGCACTAGAAATCGCAACACAAATTGCAAGTGTAAACGGGCCATTAAGTTACAATTGTTCTCATGCACAAGAAAGAGGTTTCAATCTTACTGTATTAAGATATTCTGTCTTATTTAGAACTTGCTGGAGATCCCAACGCTATCCCAGAACCAGGTATTAACGAATATAAGCACTGACATTTTAGAGCATGCCGTCTGCCACACTGAATTGTATGAGCGCATGCACGCCTTCGAATTTGTACAATAATGTATATTTTACCATATTAGCAAATTTGATGTCAGATTTACCATTAATTCTGTTACGTCTTGTGGAAAACGCCCTAAATTTCGAAGAACTATCAGCCTGGGAACAACTCCTGTGCACGATGACTATAACTACGTCCATATCTGCTTCCCAGAAAATATGACATTCGTTTATTTCATGTCGTTCATTTTGTTATCCCTGGAAATAGACAATTATATATATTTTTGTCATTTAATAAAATATGAAAGATCTTTCACCTACCCTTCAAGATCCCTGCACGCGGCTTTAAGCTTCCAACCCCTGTGGATTGCATGCATGAATATACGAGAACAATTCTGAACTATAACTTAATGTTTCTTTATAACAGAAGGATCCGCTCTAGTGAATGGAGATGCCCATGATGAGCCTGAAAATTGAGCTTTGGCCAT